ACCACCAAACAAGGCAAGGTTGGGCTGAGGGAAAATTTGTCAATGTTGCCTCCTAACAGCGGCCTGTCCGCTCAATGATCTATCTACCAGTAACATGCTAAACCATTCAGAGGGACCGTATTCCTTAGTATTATGCAAGGGGGGCTACAAAATAAACAAGGGCCAAATTTACAGGACGCTTTTGCCAAATGTCTTTTGTGTGGGGAAAAACATTAACATGGGGAGCACCGCTTCTTTATATTATTTAGACCCAGGAAAAGAAGCAATAAATTTGTCCCCATTACGCAAGCGTGGTTGATCATGTCGGTCACCGTGACTATGACGATGTTTTGTTTATCTTTGAATACAAAACGAGGCAGTGAGAGCTTCAATTTAAGTGTGAACTCAAGATTTCCAAGCTGAGAATTTATGGATTTCAAAAAATTCGAGGATAACCCTAAAGAAATTGAAAAAGGAAACTAATCTGGCGACCATAATTTTTACTTTCTTGGGAGACACACAAGACCACTATCTTCCAGAACGTCACCAGGCAGCGCCACTAGTTGTTTCCGATTTTGCTAGTAGAAACTCCGAGTCCAATGTTTATTTTGGACTGGTTCATCAGCGCTAGGGATGCATACATGTGTATCCGAGCTTTGTGCCTGATGCAGGAGAACAATGGCTCGATGACGACGTGACCAGTCTACAATTAGCAGTTGTTGGTCTGCTGTGGTGTGGGGTATGACGTTTTAAACACCCAAGGGACGCATTACAGCGCCGGGGTCAAGAGCAAAGGGCGCTAACGCGTCCCTCGGGTTTTCGAAACATCAAGCCACCTCCGAATAATTTGTTTTCCAGTTCTCAACTCCGTCTCTATCTCAAACTTCATATTGTTTACCACCCAACTTTGAAGTTTTTAGCTCAAACGTAAGTCAGAGTGTACCATGGGCACATCAAAGTAGCGAAATATGTCAGTACTTCAATTTAATTTGAACGCTTCAGGCCTACAACCGATGATAAGTTTTGGAGACGAAGGTTGAAAAGGAGAGGCCCGAGCTTGACCGTGACCAAGAGAGGGCGAAATTTTTCTAGCAACGCCATCTTTTCGCTCTTTTTCGGGCACTTGGTGGGAAGCCCTGATAGCCTTGCACAGATTTTGTGAAGGAAAACGCCACACAGGGTCACAGCTAACGACATGCAGAACATTGTGGGTAAATTTCTGACTTGCGCGCGAGCTCGCTCAATGCGTTACACATGGGGCGAATATCAATTTGATTTTTTTTCTAAATAATTCCTGAAATATTCTCACAACACTTTCGATCACAAAATTGATCACGATAACCAATGATTTGAAATTATATCGCTAAAAATATAGCCGACACTTTGCGCGTACCCAAGCATTGCCATTTGCGAACCAAAACATTTAAATAACACTTCCCTAACTGAAAGTGATAACCTTGCAGTCCGCAGGTTTTGCACAGTGTAGCTGGCCGATCACAGTGCAAAGCCAACCCCTCCTCCCCATCCTGCGCCCAGTTCGATCAGCCGCTGGGTGACGAGTGAATTCCCACCAACGTGCTCTTTTCAACCGACGAGGGGGTGCTTCTTTCTCAAGGCGGATTCTTTGGCTTCAACCAGCCGGCCGTTTACCGATACTTCGTTGTGCGTCGGAGTCTTCATCTGCTTTCTAGCCCCTGACTTCGAAATTGTTAGCTTAATATTAAGTCCAAATGGTACCACAAAGACGTCGAATAGGATGCCGAAGAGAAAAAAATACAAGTGCCTCAATTTAATTTGAACACTTCAATCAGAGATTCATTTTGGAGACAAAGCTCGAACAGCGAAAAAGGCTTTCAGACACAGTCAACAATTAGAACGTGCAGTTGGAGATGAATGTGTGTGTGGCGCTATACGATCGGCGCTATGCAATCTTTTATGGAACGCCAAAGAGGCAAAAACTTGGAGGCAACACATCGATCGATCGTTCCCCTACTACATAGATCGATTGTTGCCCTGCATCGATCAATCGCTCTTCTACATTGATCAGTCGTTCCCTACATCGATCGATCGATCTCTTTTGGTCGATGAAGAAATAGCGATGAAAAAAGACCAATGAAGAAAGACCGATGAAGCTACATCGATGCCAACGTTACGTTACCTCTTCCAGAACCAAATAACACGTGTTCCCTGTAACCATGGCCCACCAGCACACAAGGGTGCAGACCACTAATTCAAGTGAGAGTTTCTGGCTAGCTCATTAGCATTAAAAGTGCCCCCCCATAGCATCTTTTGAGAAAGGAGCTTGTTTGACCCCCAAAATGGAGAGATCAACTCCCAGGGTCTTTGAGCTTTCATATGAGAGCAGAATGGCTAAAAACTACGGTTGAAAAACGGTCCTGAGTGCCCGAGAAAGTTTGAGGGTTGCTACTTGAAAAACGGCTGCAATCAGACTTCGGAAAATTCACTTTTTTGGGGGGGTGAGTTTGTTTTGTGGGATTAATTAAACATGTAATTGCTTAACCCGCAAAAAATTGGAAAGAAATTGAAAGATAAGTGACCAGACAAGAATTTCATCTGTGTTTCAGAAATCTCAGGGATGTTTGCGTACATGTTATTAGGCCCTAAACAGTGCTGGTTTTACACTGTTTTCAATGGGGCTTGAATTAGTGGACTGTACCCACAAGGCCATCCGTGTTCATTACCCGTAAGTCTGGTCCCGAGCCAATTGAGTTGTCAGATGGGTGTTAATTTCTAGTTTTCTTGTCATGAAACCACTGAGAATATTTGCTATTTTCCCCTGGATGGGATGCCAGTTCATTATGGTTCGCTCCATAGCCAAGTATGGGCACCGATTCTTACTCCTAATAACTCGAATTTTACTTTCCACACTAATAGCATTCCGGCGGAACTATTCTGTCAGAATGCTACTCAAAAGTCAACCCTCATGAAGCTCAGTCCAAAGGAAATTAAACTATATTTATATAGTTTTTAGGAATCCCAAATGCATCAAAATCATACATGCATAGTGAAATTTGATAAAACAAATAATGGGAACTGGTGTATTAAGTTTGATATTATTGTACATAGTCTAAATTATTACCAACATGTAGGAGAGAAAGAAGCATATTGTAGCGTGTCCTACTGATAGGGTTCTGACGCTTATACAGATGCACACAGCTAGCCACAAATTGCCGTTCTGGCCAAGAAACCTTCAAGGTGGTTTTATTTCTCTAACGTACATGTACAACACTGTGTCGATCCAAAAGGCTCCAGACACGAGGCGTCTAGGCGGGGACTGCGCAGGCGCGAGACTGGAAAACCGCGGGCCCTTCGCATACCAGCGGGGTCAGCCAGCTAGTCCCATGCGGGTCCGAGCTGACACCCCCACCGGCCGGACCCGCCGGCGGTACAATGTGCTTTTGGCTTTCCCTTTACACAATTAACACGAACAATGGTTCAGACTGGACAAGAAACATAAGACAGGAGACATGAGGCAACACAGTAGGATACACTGGCAGGATAGACAACAGTTAAAGACAGATGTGCTCGATGTTGAGACCAGACCTTTAAAGAATGGAAGTAGATTGGCATGATTACATGATCTGATTTTTATTATTAAAACTAATAAGGTAGGTTTGGAAATAATAAGTGCTACATCTGCTTTGGTAACAGGAGCGAAAAATGAAGAATGTGCACATCTTTCATCAAGAAAGTGTTCAAATGAACTGCTTGATTGGGGACGTTCACCTGCTATTTTCCTGCCAATGTTAATGAAATAACCATTAAAAGCATTAGCAATATCAATGTAAAAATCAATTTTAGCATCATTTTGCGTATAATAGGACGGATTTTGTTTAACGTTCGTTTTACCGAGCAACGAATTAATAAGCTCCCATGCAAGTTCCGTTAACACTATGCCTGTCTTTATTAAATTGTTCACCAAAGTTTTTTGGCCATTCTTATAACACATATTAACTTTTTAAAAACTTTACGTGGGCAGATTTATTATGAACTGTAGGATTCTGAAGATATTTTGATGCAGATGTTTTTCTCTGATTGAGTTATAGATCCCTTCCAGTCTCCAAGGTGGTTTTGACTTTAAGATTTCGGAGCTCACACTGTGAAAAATTTTTGTCATACACAGTTTAAGAAGTTCTGAGGCTTCATCGACATTATCTGGCGTAAGTTCATCTTAATCTTAGTTTTTGCTTACAGACTACCAAAGAAATGTTCATTTTTTTCTCTTTTTTTTCATTTGTAATAATACCATGTTACAAAACTTCTGAAGTTTCTTAGTGTGTTCATTTTAATCCTCTCTTACTCACTCATCGGTTAAACGACGATGTCCAGAGATTGTATCGGCGGTTGTAGTCTAAATGCTATGAATTAATCCTTTGTTTTCTCTAAACATCCGGGCGATAGTCTTTTAGAATCGACGAGATGGCCGAGATTAGACGCTCTCTTTGTTTACGCTTAACAATGTGCTTATTTTATTATTTATTTGTTATTTTCGACCTCATCAGTGTTAGCTTGGGATCTCAGGGGATCAGGAATGAAAATAGGAAAGGATCGTATTGAAACAAGTTGACAAATTAGATCAAGATATTTTAAATTCAGAAGGGAATAGTGTGTTCATCAGTGTTATGGAAGTGCATAGCTAAGCTAGATAAGTAGGCCATTGAATGAAAGAATAGTTCCATTGGTCACGTTGATCAGCCGGTTCTGCCGGTTTCGCAAGGATGTTATCAGTGTGGAAAATAAAATTCGTATCCACCTGGAGTAAATATGTTTGCCCATAGTGGCTAGGGAGCGACTAATAGCAACTGGCATCCCATCCAGGGGAAATAGAAAACAGTATTCTTGTTGTGGTTTAAAGCTGACATAAACACCCACCAGACAACTCAATTTATTGGCTCAGACCAGACCAGACTTTGTTGAAGTTTTTTGCCTCTTTGGCGTTCCATAATCTTTGGTACGTATAAAGCCCAAGCCCCGCCTTCGTCTGGCGCGCTTCAATTCGATACATGGGCAACCTTATTATATCGTACTTTCCGTAGACATGGCGACCGTGGAAAGTCCCTCAAATGTACTGACATATTTCTCGAAACTTCTTGGAGTCCGCGAGGCAGAAGTAAGACTAAGATCAGTGTTGATTTTTGTTAGAAATGAAAGCTGTCTGTCTTTATTAATGAATATTTCCATGTCGTGTTTTGGAGATTTAAAGCTTAAACTAGGCTAACCAGCTAACGCCGTGTCAGGCAACAAGTGTACAATGTACATGTACGTGTACATAGGCCACATTACTTTGAGAACTCTAAAGCCACTAGGCCTACTCCGTCATACTCCGTGGGACTTAGAGAAGACCAGGTTTACATGGCGTCCTAAAGCTCTCAGGTTTTGGAATCGAATTTTGTTGTGAAATGGTTCACAGATATTAAACCAAATTTTCCCCTGTCAGCAAACCTGCTTAGGGCCTACCTCCTAATCCTATAAAGTGGGATAACCAAGGTTCAGAGCATGAGCTGGAGTATTTTTAAATAAAAATGTAATTTTTGTTCACGAATTTCTCGCTTCCACCCATTGACTGTTACTCCATTCATGCCGTTTGTGTTTATCAGACTGCGCATGCGTCCAACCCACCAATGACTGCACTTTCTGCGCGTTTTGGTTCGACCATTTTCGGTGGCGGGTTTTGATCGTGAGACCATCCTGGCTGCTGCTATGACCTGGAAACACACATTGGGCAAGACGTGCGACATGTATGTTTAGCTAGGACAAATACAACACAAGATGTTATCCCCTTCCACCACAAAAATTTGATTTAAAAACCCCATAGCGTTACGATGCCATGTAAACCTTGTTTTCTCTAACTGTCACACGGAGTATGGCGGAGTAGAAACTTAAGAGTTGTCAAAGTAGGCCTACATCATGCACATGTAGGCCCAATGGAGTCGGTCATACTAATTACCGTCAACACACTACCAATACATTGTCAACACAGCGTTGACACCTCGAAAACGTGCTAAAACCAAAGAAGCGGTACTTGACCGTAAAGTGTTCGCAGAATGGATATTTTGCCTAAACCTCAACATGTTAGACTCTGGAAAATTGCCATTTTAATTTAACTGAAATCGCCTCCTTCGAACAGCTCAGAAATCAGCAGCCATGTTACCTCTTGGGCAGCTTAAGACCATACCATTTTGCCAGAGGGGTGCTAATATTATATGACAAAGAAACAGGGAAGTCATTACCATGCTTTTTTTCGTAACGTTTATATATTTTTATTTTTCTTAAGATTGAGTAATTGTCCCTTTTCGTATTTTAATAATAACAGTGTTGAATAAAATCTGTGATGTTGTTTCTGTGATATTGATTTTTACTCTCTTAAAAAAGTATTTTAATTTACAGCCATTTCGTTTAAACTTCTGGGTGTGAATGTGCCTTCAATACACCAAGTATTGCGGGGCAGGGAGGGGACAACAAAAAATTACAAAAAAATGTCAGAAGAGCTGAAAAGGATATAATCGGTGTACTTATTTGTAAAATATTAGCAGCAAAACCCTTTGAAAATACCGCACAATAAAAGCAAAGATCTTGGGACCATGAGTAGACTTTTGTTATTTGTTCCCCCCATTATTAAGTTGAATAAGCCCGAAACTGCATTTGCTTTTTGGCTTTGCACCCCCACATACACTGAATAATAAAGTACATCATTGGCAAAAGACATGTTAATGTTTTAACTCCTTATTTGTATAAAATAGTCTGTGAAGAAATGTCCAACATTTCGGAGATTCCCCCACAATAGGTAGGAAATCAGGAAAGCACAGTGATTTTACTGATAATTGGGGGAGATGAATAGTCCGATCATCCACAAAACATACACATTTCATAATAGGAAGTAATGGTAGTTAAAAATTAAAAAAAAATGAAATTTACAAAACACTACTCACAACATGATCCAAGCAATGCACCAACCATCTGAACTACCAGTTGATGCCCTTTGTTGCATTACCCGCATACCCACACCTAAATGGTAGAGTCCAAGCCCCATGAGAAGGCAAGATGGCGGCGAATAGCTTCGCTGCAACGGATCATTTTTTTGTGCGATAAAACTCCATTTTGAAAATTTATTTGTGACTTCCAACTACTGGACATGCTGGAAAGTCTCTTTCATCCCAAGTACAGTATTAGACTTCTACACGTACGTGTATGCCTCTTTTGCTGATTGAACTTGTATTCTCGAGGTGTTGACATTGTGTTGACATTACTGTCATGTGTTGACAAT